GGTTTATATTCAAAGTCGTTACAAGTAGCTGCTATAAATTGTGTTTTGTTTATATTGGATTTTTTTTTTTTTGGCATTCCATCAAAACTACAATTTATAGCGTAACGTGTTAAGCGGTGTTTTACAGTTGATTAATTATTATTATTTTTTTTTTTTTAGCAAAAAACAATTTCCGACGTACAGAAACTGATGTTATTGGAGTTTTATTTATAAAATATAATATATATATATATATATATATTCTGTCCAACACAATATCTTGCAAGTGGGATCTGGCTAAAGCCTAGACCAGGCAGGACAAGGATCAAAATTGAAATGTTAAAAGTGTCAAATGTATTAAAAGTGATTAACCTATTCAAACACCGAAAATGTTCTTCTGTTGATTGGTATTTGTATAAAATAATATCAATATTTATACATTTTAAATAAAGTAAAAAATATCTTATTAAAACAAAACAGTTTTCGTTTCAATCTCACAATGCTTATACAAATGTTGGGTATTTTCAGCACTAAACAATAAACTTTATAAAAACCAAGCACAATAAAATCAAACATAAGTACGAACCAAGCACAATCAAATATTGGTAAAAAAAAATGCATGTCCAGAAAAATATATTGGCACAGTTTTAGCTGTTCCAAACAGCATTTCGGTGTGTACTTACTACAAGTAAGCAGTAACTATTACTTAAGTCCAAAAACGGACTAATCCCAAAAATATTAATAATAACAATCATATATATTTTGCAAACGAACAATACACAAGTCACAGACATTAAATAAGTACAATAAGTTTGCACACTTCCTTAAAACAAATCTTGTGTTGGAGGTAAGAAATACCTACCTATAGAAAAATATTATATGCAATCAATTATTTAAAAAAATAATGAAATGTATGTGGACGTTAAACCTCTCATGGTAATATATATATATGTACAATCATAAACTTGAATTGATCAAATTATCGTTAATGAAGTGTTTGTGATATGATATGTGCTATAATATCGTTAACTTAGAGCTTTGACAAATTAATTGCAATTAATTTATACTTTACTAGTATTACTATTTTCACCTTTTTGTGTTTTAAATCTGAATGGTTTTAGCATAACACGTGTAAAATGTGCGACTCGTTTTAATTATTAAAATATTTTTTTCATGAAAACTACAAATTCAATTTTGGACGCGACGCAAAATAGTGAATTTATACCACCACTAAATTTATCTCATCTAATTTTATACTTTTTCTCTTTCTTAAGTGTGCTTTTTTTTTGATATTCCGCCATTGTGCCATTTAATTTAGATATTAGGCCTAGGTCTTGTCTGCCAAATAATATTGCGGTTATATTTTATTTTCCACGACTACCTTGACCCGTCCGGGTGCTTATATTATGATGTTTGTGTTTGACTCTGGTAAGCACAAAGTGTTCAAAAAGGAAACGACCGTGTGGTGACTTGTTCAAAATACATACGCATACATGTATGGAATGATTCTTGGGTCGGTAATAATAATAATTAATCTGACCCTAATATTAACGATCCTAAAAGACTGTATTTATTGTACAAAACGGATAATACAAAAGAACATCCAGCTAAACGGTGCCAATTGTTTGCCATCAACAAGTCAATTGGTTCGTTGAGCTGATTACAGTACTGTTCTAGTTTGCCCACACACGAGATGAGATATTTGCAACGATAGAACAAGAATATTACAGTCCATTAGTTCAACATGAATAAATTATTTGTTGAAAACCGGTATTATGTTTTATGTGTGGGGGAAAAAAATACAACACTTTTCAAAAATTCTGCTGTTAAATATAACATACTAGGTAATATTAGATTATCATTTGAAAGAACAATATAAACAAATAAAAACCGTAAAATGTATCATTAGTATAGGTAGATAGAACATTCTTCAGAGAAGATATTGTCAAATATTCCACACGGCTATTGCATGCAACTTATGAAGCAATACAATATAATATACATATGTATTTATTCCTTATGTGAAAATGCACATATTTTAAAAAGGCGTTTTGACAATATTTAATATATTTGCATTTATTCAGTACCCATAATAGTATGCGGAAAACTGTATTGAAATTTACATACTTACAATAAGTATAGGTAATCAGTATGGTTTATACAGACGTTAGCGTTATGAATTATATACATTTTTGGAATATTATTGTGGACAAATTGTACTTTAAACGTGGCCAAAGTTATATAATTTAATCTAAATCTGTGTATGTCAAAATGTTGGTAAAAAAAAAATGGGATCTGTGCAAAGTGAGAAGTACAGTATTATTTTCATGACCGTATCAAACTCATCGTGGCCTCGAACGTTTTGCTATTGTGTCAAAGCAATCGATTTTAGCGTAAAACCATTGATTATGTAATAGACTGATTATGATAGATTATGTCTAATACACAATCAATGGTAAAACTCATCCGTACAAAATTGGAGAACAAGATTTGAATTCGATTTTGACACGGTTGTATTTCGATCGAGAATAAAAAAAATAGAACTTAAACCAGCCTAAAGGTATAAATATCAACGGTAAAATTAATCACGGATTTTGGATTCCTTTCGAATGTGTATTAGATAATGAGCACACTGCACAGATATGGGGGCACACGTGTTATGCAAACGAGCACACACATATGTAAGTACACTGTCCCGGTGGCATGTGTATAATTTACAATGAATCGTGTTGAACAAATATTTGGTAATAAAATCTTGTTTTGGAACACGGGCGGGCTGGCATAACACCTCACTCAATCTTTGTACGGTAATATAAGAAAATACTATGTATTGTTTTGTGTGTATCCGGTAAACAAAACGCGATAACGTTTGTTAGCACAGATAACAAAATGTTTGGAAAAAAAATTCGGCCTTGATCTAAGCCGGCAAACGGGGATAGGTACATATTTTGCCATTGAAATGGTTATGCCGTATTATGATACCTTTGGCTTGGTATTGCGTGGAAAGCCTAATTGGAATTTTTTTGAGCATTTGTTTGTCAAGTTTTAGTTTTGAATTTGTTGTATAATTTCTCAACTAATTGGCCGACACAAATTTGGTGAAAATATACTTCAAGTATTGAAAACAAAAACAATTTGACAAAATTTGCTGCGACACGAGCCTGCACTTTTTTAGCTGCTTTTTTCCAAAAATAATAAATATTTAAGTATAATCTTGTGATAACCTATCCGGAACAGGATGTCGGTAGTTTTTAATACTAGGGAAGTTTATAGTGTAGTTGTTTCCGGTATTATCAATTAAGTAAGTTATCAGCACTAAATTAATATGGTTTTTAAACTGTTATTATGTTTTTATGATTTCCATTGTTCACTGAATTCCGACAAAGAAGACATTATTACATGATTTAACGCGCGTTACTCGAAGCATACAATGATGAACGGAGGAATTGCTTGTTAAAAAATAAAAATAAATAAGAATAATAAGTATACAAAAAATATGTTTGCCAATCGGTATACAATGTCCGTGCGCTAATTAATAGCTGCTCTGGAAAATGTATTTAAATTAAACCAAAGTACGGCCATTGAATAAAAAAAAAAAATGATTTAATTAAAATAAATTTCGTGTAATATTGTTGCTGTGCAAAGCGAAAAAATAAAACGTTTTACAATGTGTAAGAATGAAAACCGCCTTGGAAAACAAATTGGTCCGCTTTAAAAAAAAAAAAAAAAAATGTAAGTACAATATAATGGCTTTGAATAATAATTACCGGCTATTAAGATGCTACATTGTACTGTAAACGTGTAATTGTTTAATAAACACAATGGGTTAAAGATTCCCCAAAAACAAAACAAAGAACACGTGTATACATGGTGGTCATGTTATTATGTTGATGTAAAAAATTATTAGTTTGTAAAAAACAAAACAGATTGTGAAAAATTGAGATCACACTGTATAAACATGTATAGTATGAAAAAAATAAATGAAAATTCTCATTACACCCTATGATATATTGAGTGGTTCGTTCGCCCTGTAAATGATCACCCTGTATTTGTTTTTTACACATCTGTATTGAACTAAATAAACACAAAAACAAATTAAATGCAATAACTGAACGTCTTAATTATTCTGACACAGTCTTGTGTCTTATGTCTTATGTCAATGTCGAAAATACAAGTCCTTCGATAGTGGAAGCAATTATTATTATAATAATTTTGTATATTTTTTTAGTATACTGGTGAGGTGTTATTTTTTTAGAAACCCGATCATAGGCCATTAGAGCTATTTAGAGCTGGCGTTATAATAATTACGTTTTCACTCTAAAATAATCTCAGACATTGTCGTTTGTTAATGTTTACACGTTTGTAAATGAATAACCGTCCAAGTTTGAATTTCATGTTTGTTTGTTTGTCTTGTTTTAGACAGCAAAAGGTGCTATCAAAAATTAAACACTTCTCAGAACGTTTTATTACATATTATTATTGTTGTAAACAACGAGGCTCGTTTACCCGCGTGGAATAGCTGTTCCACAAGCACACGTGCACGGGCTTATTAAATCCAACCTACATATTATATGGTCACTAAACTATACTGTTGTTGACACACACGGTACTTTGGAGGAGTATTGTAACATTGTAACAGTTTAACAGTTCCAAAAAAATCTCTGAAACCGATTAGAGGATTTTGTTATTTAATATCTTTTGATAATCACCTTAGCATGTACGTATATAAATGCAGTGAAGAGTTTTATCATTTTATCTCATATAGTTCATCCGGTATAGAGTTTTAAAGTTGTACATTATATTATCATAAAAACACATTTTCCCTCGCTAAATTTTGATATTTTTTTAATTAATTGACCAATAATAAAATATAAGTTTTAAACTATTAAACTCTAATAGTTAAAAAAACAAAAAAGTCTACATGCCGACTTGGCGAGTTTTTTTTAATAATACCTTTAAATAAAAAAAACTAAACAAACGATTACAACCAAAAAATATCTTATACAAATTAATTTTTTTACCTTTTGATATTTTTTCATGTAAGTACATCAGTTTATCGTGAGACATTTGCATTGCGTTTAAACTGAACGTGTGGTTGTACTTCATTAGAGTAACCGAAGCTGTTGCAGTTTTAATGTTATGTCATCATAAATTACTCAAAGGGGTTTGTCTTGGAGTTGATGACTACGTTAAGATGATTTTCTGAGGAACACTACTTAGGTGTGAAACGTTTAGGAATAAAATAGTATTAATCGACTGACACGGTTGTAATAATTATAATATATATAAATGGATAAGTATATAGTATGTTTGTACACTGGGTAAGATATATAAATTAAATTTACAAAACATGGCACGAAAAAAAAAACGCGTGGCCTTATTTATACATAAAAAATAAAATAAATGTACACAATATAATAATAATAATAATAATATAATATAATAATAGGAATAATAATAATAATAATAATAAATATTAAAAAACTGCACGTTAAAAAAAATAATTAATGAAGGCGAGTAAGTATACAGATAAGTATTAACGTGTAAAATATAATAATGTATTATAATAATAGGTATGCTCTGAATATTTTATTTAATTGTCTGAAAACGTTTAACGTTTTTTTGTAAGTGTGTAAGTGTGTGTGTGTGTGTGTGTCGTAGAGTTTGACTAGAAATTCGACAGAACCATTTTCTCCAATGTGCAGTCATATTATAACGAAATAAATCTGTAACAAAAAAATTAATTAATTAATAAACAAAAAATATTGTTATTTGTGTTGCGACAATGGTTATTATTGACTCTTAAATTCTTAAGTGCTGAGAAAGAAATTAAAAATCTAACCCAAGCACCAAAAACAAACTGGTCTGAAAAAATTATTAAAACGTTCAGATTGGATGACATGAATTTTAAATTACACAACTACTATTACATATTATATTATTATCTACTATCATTCTAGTGAATTGTTAAAATTGGTTCGCCATAGCCATGGCCGCCCGTTAGGTGTTTTTTATGGGTATTTTTTTTATTATTTATTGTTTTTTTTTTAATTACCGAACAGTCGTCGGGTTGCGAAACGTTTTGCCGTCATAATAATAATAACATGAGAAAAAAACACCTAACCTGATGTCAACGGCACTTTTGTACACACGCTCAACAGGTGTGTGAGGAGGAAATATTATTAGTTTTCAAGAGCGAATCGACATAATGGCGGTATAGCACCGATCGTCCAAAGACCTCTGGGGGACAGGTGCATATATTATACATAATATACAAGGCGGATAAAGGGTTGGTTTTTACCGTTCTAACCGTTAAAAACTGTTGCAACACTGCCGTTGTGTAAAGTATTATATCATAATAAAATATTGTATATCATACTGTGGGCCGTTTCGCCTACTCACTGCAGCGACCACCACCGAGGTCCCCGGGGAATCGACACAAGACATTGCGAAACGTCTTTATATATAACACACACACACACGTGTATAAAGGGTAGAAAAGAGGCGACCGGGGAATGATGACAATATCGAATTTGAAACGTCATCGCATTATTGTAACGCGTTGACAAGCGCGGAAAAATATGGATTTCCATAGAAAACCGCACTTGTATATAATAATGCCCCGAAATGACGTCTAAAGGGATCCGATGCCAATAGGAACGTGACGGGGTTGTCGTGTATGCATGTATGTATATTAAATTGGTCGTCGAAAAAAAGCTGCAGGAGTATACCTAACCGTAACCTAAACGGGGCCAATAGAAAAGCGCAGGGAAAAAACCCCCCAAAAAACCGTCACTTGTTTTTTCTTCTGTTTAATCTAAGAAAAACATGTTTGTAAAAACATGCAAAACGAATTTTATGACATCGAAACGCCATTTTGTATTCTAGTTGTTTCCGTAATATATTGTATTCTTACAGTTTGCAAAACAACATAATATTTTAAAAACGTCTAATAAAAAACTAACTGTTGGAAAAAGAAAATCTGGGCGTTTTTTTTTTTTGGTTTAATGACCTCGCGACTTTGATTTAAAAAAAAACTTTGGCAGTACCCGTTTTATTCGATTTAAATTTTGGGAAAAGTTTTGAATTCCTCATGGTCTTTTCTGTGGGCTGACGTAGGATAGGCGGCTTAGGGCTGTTGTTATTTTACGAAAAAAAAAATAAATAATAATAAGAAAAAGTAGTGGCCACGTCAAATCACAGAACGGACGATGAGAAATTCAAATTTTTTTTCACAATCGAAAATAATCAAATAAAACGGTCGCTCGGATTGTTGAAAATAGACACACAAGTTTTTCCAGAAAAATAGAGCTTTGTATAAGTTGGACAAATAAATTATTCAAAATCCCTATTTCTTGTATCATCCCCGCTTACCCTCACCCGGTTAGACGTTGTGGCTGGGAGGGTAGGGGTAGTTTTTGACAATTTTTTTTTCAATGGAATTATTTTTATGTTTTTTCGCACTACTCACTTGATCGGCGACTGGATCTCGGGATTTATGCCCTAACCGGTTACACTCCGGTTACGAAGCCTTCACCACTTGTATGCGTTTGATCTCTTTTTTCAGCTGCACATAGGTGACTTCCAGCTTGCGTTTTTGGGCCGAAATCTCGATCTCGGCCACCTTCTTCTTGAACCGGCTGTTGCGGGCGGCCTCGTTGTTCTTCTGTCTCATCTGATAGTAGTAGTCGGTCGATTTGGACGTGCACCCGGACGACATCATGGTTGAACCCGAACTAACGCGAAACTAAACCGGGAAAAAAAGAAAACAAATGTCCTATTAAATTCTAAACCGTAGTAAGTGTTTATTATAATATTATATAATACTGTGGTCGTGGTCGCAGAACAAGCGGCGACCACCGAGACGTCGTTGCCGGGTTCGACTGAGAATCGCGACTGGCAAAATATAACATCTTAATATATATATATAATAATATTGTTATTATATCCTCAAGGCGTTTAATGGCGATAGATTTTTTTTTTTTTTTTTTGCGACCGCGCATATCCGTTTTTAGCTGACAAGTCCCATGTCAAAAACCGCCATTAAAATCCCATTAACAGCCAGACGGGGGTTTCAAGTTAGGTAAACCGAGGAGGCCTAACCCCATTAAAATGCCATTTACAGGGATTCCTAGACGCGGCCGGCACAATGTGTGTGTGTGTGTGTGTACAATCACTATAATAATAATATTATTATTATTGTTCCTTCCTTCCTTTCTTTTTTCTATGTGTGTGTGTTGTGGTCGAATTTTTTACCTTATAATACACCATATAACACTATAATAATAATAATAATAATAATAATAATATACAATACCACCGACCGTTTTGCAATAGTACAAAATGCGTAACACCACCTTTGGGGATGCATTTGACGGTTCTATTCATCGGAAACGCCTTCACAGTGCACACATATTCTTATTATTATCATTATTATAGGTATAATATCATTCTCTAGCCCACGTTGTTGTCGTCGGTCGAGTGGACGCGTTTCCCCTTAAGCGACGGTTTAGTTTCAATAGCACATACAGGGTTTAAATAATTATGACGATATAACACATTAAATGTTATAAAAAACACTATGTAAAAAAACAATTAAATTAAACCCATTGCGATATTGACCGGCTCACGACAACCCGGTATCACCCTGTATAGTATAATAATATTTGAAAAAAAACGCTTTCGATGCGCGACGGTTTTTTATTCATAAAAAATAAAACCAGTCGAGCTAAGCGGTTTTTTCCCCTAGGACAGAGTTCTCGGAAAGTATTATAGTAAGAATGATTATACTAGTTATTATTATTATTGTTATTATAGAAATTATTCGTATTAGACATTATGCTAAGTACCACCACTAAGTACACACGCAGCGCGTTCGAGACCTATGTGCAAAAATTATCTCTCGAACGGCATTCCGTTGTATTGTTAACAATAAAAAATAAAAAACAAAATTATTAGTATACACCCGGCATAGACAAAACATCAATTATTATATGAGTACCGCCGCTGTTGTTATTTGATAAACATTAACACAAAAAAAACCCAAGTAGAGTCGAGAGATATATTATTATAAATTCCATTCGAAAGCGTTTATTAATAGGAATACAAAAAAAAAAACAAATTAAGAACAATAATAATATGTACGGTTAGAAAAAACAAGCCGGCGTTATATATATATAAGTACACGGTAATAAAAAAAAAAAAATTCATAGTATCATATTTTTTTTGTCAAACCGTTCGACGCTTGAAGAATATGAACACAATTTTTGTTTTATAATGATTCTTATGAATTCTTGTAATCTATAAAAAGACGGATAAATAAAGAGAGAGATAGAGACCTGCGTTTAAAATAGCTACATAAACAGTTTATGAAATCATTCACACATTGAAATTATTATTATTTTTTTTTTTTAAAGAAATACAGTCATTTTTTGTTTTTAACCGCATTCTTAAGCCGAGAGAGGAAAAAAATATGCTATTTTTATCATAACTTATAATATTGTTTTTTACGGTTCAAAACAATTATCTCATTTTTAATACACATTTTATTGATGCTTAATACAACCCCTTCAACGAGGAAAGAAGTTCGGATAAAAGATACTATTCAAACGTTTTTGTTGACAGACATAAATTTCAAGAGAAATTATTTTCTAAGATCTGCCGCTTTGTAAACGTTTTCAAACCACACCTTATGCTTAATAGATTTAAATTTTTAAATATGATACAACAAGAACATAAATGTGGCTTCGCCTCGTGAAAACCTATAGAACTTTTCCACCTAACACTGAGTAAGATTTTTCAAGTTATAATATTATGTAAGTAAAGAAAATGTTGGGGAAAATCCGGATATTTATGATTATTATAAAATATTTTTGTATGTGATTTTCGATACTCGGATTTTGCCCGATTCCGAGTACAAATTAATTTTCAAGTGTTTATTTTTCTGGAAAACTCGCTTACCCCAAAAACCCCTTTTAAGTAGGTTGTTTTGTTTTTGGCCGATTCGCTTAGCGGAATAATAATTGAAGTGCATATTGTTTATTTATTAATTGGGGTGGAAATTTCAAAATATAGATTTCTAAACAAACAAATGTAGTACAAACAAAATCGGTTTAAAAACAATACTAAACGAGAAAATCGCTGAAATTAGAATTGCACTAATTGCAAAAATATTCTAATGCTATATTTTCTAATTGCTAATTTTTTCGTTGTCTGTCATAGTTTTATTTTTTCAGCAAATTGTTTTTAATTCAGGTAAATATTATTATTTAAAATTATTATCGTTGGCCGCGACCTGATTTAGACATTTCGAACGTTTTGACAAAACTTAAATAAATACCTCCCCGGACATTTTGCTGTATTTTATTATTAGCACTATCAAATTTTTCCCGCAAGGGTAGCGCCGCGAAAATAACGTTACACTTTTACCTTTTCACCAGACCCACGACGGTAATTGAAAAATTTTAAAATTTTAACCCCAATTCTGAACGAACAAGAGGAGCTAGCGCCTAGCACATTCCTAGGCGCCACCCCTAAAACGGGCAAGGGGCAAAGGGGGTTATATTAAAAAAAAAAACTCACCTGAGATTGGGCTGTGAAGACGTGAACGCCGGTGAAGACGGTTGCTGCTGCTGCGGTCTTTGGACACTTGCGGTCCGCGTGGCGACGGTTCGGCTGGGTCCAAAAGGCGACGGCTATTTTCTGGGGGGTCAACGGCTGTTCCGAATTCGGAGAGCGTCGCTCGGTTTTTGGCAATGTGACGGTACACCGTGGACGGATTGCGGTTTTTATATACACGGGCCGAGTGGCCAAGCCGCGTCCGGTGTTCATCCCTTCCCGGTTCGCTCCACCCTTTCCGCGGACGCGACACGCGCCACGTGCTGGCATTGGCGGACACCACCGCCGCGCTGGCAGGGGGAGGGTGAACGCGGCGGTAGCCCCTCAGCGCCGGGGTGCTGCGTACAGGGGAAACGCAAATATTACAAAATACCTGAGGCGCGAGCCCAAGTAAACGTGTACCGAAAAAACGACAAACATAATACCGAAGGAATCCGGTCGAAGATTGGTCGTCACATATAAGAAAATACGTTTAACAACAGTCGCAACCGAGCTGCCTCACTTGGCCCCGCCGGCTCGTCGTGGCCGTCGCCTTTGCCGGCCAAAAGTCGCCTAAGTATAGTATACAGTATATTATAGTACAGTACCACCGTGTGGTGTGTTGTGTGCGTTACACCTTTTGGCCGTGACCGTTTAATTATAACTATTTGTACTGAATCGTTTTGGCCGACTCCCAACGCTTGTAATTGACATAGAAAACACACATTTCATCAGGTCACGCTACAATCGACTAGGTCATTACAAAAACTCAACCCTTAAGTGGGCGCCCCGGCTTTGTCTCAGGAGAAACGCGCTATGCTGAAAAACTAAATAGTTCTGGTGTATTTATACATCTATAGAGAATTAAAGATTTTTGGCAATTTTTGGTGTTAAATATTTCATATTATATACATTTTCTCGACTAACTTATTTTAATTGTTTAAAATCTAGCCCTTGTCAAGTACATGTTAAGCGGTAATAGTTCACTTCTAAATAATTTTAGTTTAAAATATACAGGGTGGTCGTTTTAACGTAAGACATTCGTTTTCACTTAGAATAATCTCAATTTTGTAGTTTTTCTTCATGTGTACACTTTCGTTTACTTTATTTTATTATATTAAAATTTCTATCTTTTTTACTGTTTTTTCCAAAGCCTTATCAACCTTTAAACCTTAAAGTATATATTTTACTACTTTTTTTAAGTAAAGAATAATTTTCTGAACAATTTTGACGGGTCGATAACTAGTTTTGGGTAATTACTATTAAAGTTATTAAAATAATTTTTTTTTTTTTACAATATGTAAGATACCATAAACAAAAAGGGTTTCAAACAAAAAAAAACTAGAAAATTGCAATTATGAGTGTCTTACGTTAAATTGATCACCCTGTATATACAACTTATACAATATTGTAATTAGGTTAGTTTTTAAATCTTAATAGCCTTTATTGAATTGACCGAATTCTTTAGCATTTATCCATTTTGCCTTATTAGATTTCTATAGAGGATAAGAAACGTTTTAAGGCGGTCCGGTAAATCGGATCTTTTCTTACAAGTCCTCAAACGTCCTTAAACTACAAAGAAAAACAAACACCCAATACCGCTTCCATTTAAATGGCGCCTAGCCAACGTCTGTTTACTTCCAATACTTTACCGATACAAGATAATAATATTATAATACTAACAAGACAGAACAGCTGCTGTCTTTATTTACATTATCATCACAACACAAAATCTGTATCCAGTTAATCGGACGGTAAACAAATAATAAGAGTTAATTTTATTTAGAAAATATATGCTTTTAACATAAATGATAGAACAGTGTTAATAGTGCAAACTTCATAAGAACATGCCAGTAAATTGCTTGAGAATAATATGTAAATCAAAAACAAAATACTTACAGTTAAGATGATTTTCATATGCCTACGCTATAAGTATACGGGGATGAGTGGGTGTTAAGTAGCCAAAGAGGTACCGAGGAAAAGGGTGAAAATGAACTCTAAAATTACTTTTGGCTTTAATTTAGTCAGCTCAACCTCTACCCTCCCCTTTAATTTTTGTAATTTATGACTTTGCTCCAAGTCTTATCAGTTAGTCGTACCATTGGGAAAGCCCCGTTTATGTCAGGCAAAGACAACACAATTTACTGCGATGTTTTTTTAAAAAAAATTGGCAATAATTAGTTTGTCCGTTTTTAATTTTATTTATTGTTATTACTTATTAGATATGAACGACAGTTTCCCATGCATACATATTTATCAATTGGGTAAGTTCTATAAATACAACATTACTATTTATTAGTATTACTTGAATTCATCTTTTGCTATTATTTTTGGTTATAACATGTAAAAAAAAAAAATGTTTTTTTTTGAGAAAATAATATTATCTTATCGGTATAGATAGCATACCAAACGATAATCGGTTCTTAATTATTTGGCTGAGGTCAAAAATGAGACACAACCCATTGACGGGCTTACTTTTATGATAAACCAAGTATAATAATAATTAATCGATGCATTCGCCATATAAAAAACAGACTTTTTTTTATTGTTTTACTTTTGTAAACGACATAATAAATGAGATAATTTTAAATAAGACTTATTCATAACGTTCTTCTCACAATGTAGCGCCGTCCTGACCTCTCTGAGATGACCCTTTGAAAAGCGCCTAAAAATTATAGATAAGGATGTTTTTTTCTCGGTTCATAAGAATGATATAAATAATGGGAAAACTTTTTTTTTAAGAATGGAAAAAGTAGAACTGACTGTACTGTTATTTTACCGAGAATAGCTAATCTTCGCAAGAGTTCCCAAAAATCAACTCGGATATTGATAAAACGTGGCGCCGTTCGTTTAAGTTATCACGTGTAACCGAAACGGCCGTTTACAACATGAATGACTTAAACGGCGAACAATATAGTAGCTAAAATATTTCCTCTATTTATTCAAAAATAGCAAAAAAATTATTTAATAATTCCAAAATGTTGTCAAACGCGTTAACAGCGTTTTTAAATTGTATACAAACGTTATATGCAAAACATTTTTAAATATATCTAAAAAAACATACTTAAACGGTATTAGAAAATGCATTTTTTTGTATCTATAAATTTCGTTCTAAGACATCAATATTAAATAGTATTTAAAAATTGTTAGAATCATGTAGGACAACATTTTGAAGTTTGTTTGCTGTATAGAATTGCATGTACATGTTTATTTAATTCTTTCAGACCTGAGTATAGATGTGATAAAGAAGATCCGCTCTTTAGTATTTAACATTTTTGTTCAAAATTATGTGAAAAATGTTTTACATGTTTTGAAATTATCTTAATTTAGCATAGATCTATCTTAATAAATAATATTGATTAAATCCTGACACCAAGATATAAAAAAAAAAAAAAACTTTAATGTTTATTTTAATACCAATCGGTAAGAAAATTTTTATATTCTCAAATTGCCGATAAACATGTTTTCAATTTTTTTTTTCAAATTTGTTATATTAATTAGGGTTTGACACGAAATTCAAAGTTGTTTTAAAAAATTTAATTTAGATAATTTATACCATTTAGTCATTTATATGTTTTTCAATTATATTAACCCTTTGGTTATATTGTGCCAAACCAAAAAAAATGGGTAAACCACTGATTTACATTTGTCCAATATTGTTGAGTGGTTTAAACAAAATTTGATAGTAAAATTGTATTATATTATATTATATTTTAAACATTGCACACAGAATTATACACTTTTACAAGTCTATCGAACGTCTGCAGTGTGTTGAATAGATACGATTTTATTGCGGTGCATTTGTGCATAAATTTTAAATTCCACACATTTTAACTATGAAAAATAAAAACATCAATATTGTTGCCAGACCGTTGCATAGTGTATATTTTTGCATACGAATGTGCCAAAACATATTAAACGGTTATAAAAATGATGCATGCAAATGACGGCGATGACAAATAATAGCAATTGTACAATTGGCCGCTGTTAAGTATATACCATGACGATGTTCAAACAGCGATGGCACAACATATGTGTACATACAGTAAAAAGTACTTACCAGCTATACCAAGCATGAAATTATTGTACAGGATGGTCCAATAAGGATAAGATACTCGTTTTCTCTAAAAATAATTGCAATTTTGTAGATTTTTTGAAAACACTTGAGTTTGTGTTATTTTTTAATATTAGAAAATACCTAATTAAACATTTTTATCTTTTTATTTTTTCCCAAAGCTTTATCAACTTTTAAATTTAAACGATAACGTATACATTTAATGAACTTATTATTTGCTGCAGTTTATAAGACATTTAACATTAACAACAAATTATTTTTAATTTAAAAACGTTCATTAAATTGTCCTCAAAAAGAAAAACTAATAAACCAAATTGAAATTATTTTAAGAAAAAAATGAGTATCTTATCATTGATGAATTACACTGTAATTACACTAAATATATGATAATTAAAGCCGTACAAAAAAAGAGTCGTCGATTATTTAAACTGAAAATTGAGAATATACAGTAATATTATGTTAAAAAACATACATTTAAGTTTAGTAAAATGTCGAGAAAAAATTTCAAATTAGTTATGTTAACAGAAACCGTGGTAATGAAACTATACAGGACGTTGCGTTGTAACCGCGGTTGTGGTTACCTAAAGACCAAACCGATTAATATCTCCCATATATATTTTGTTATTTTCAAACCTCCAAACAAAAAGTTTTTATTATTTTGCTGTTATATTTTCCACAGACAAATTTGTATTAATTTAAAAACAGAAATCTGTCTATAACCAGCAAGAAACAACAGACAATTTATGGTGATTGCTTATAGTTAATGAAACAGAAAACATATAACACATGCTATGATGTTCTGAGGTAAAACATTCAAATTTAAACCATAGGGTTTATTTTATTTTGCAGTGTTTGTGTTTGCCTTTTTACATATTTTGTTTTATTTATGGCAATCAATAAAACTTGTACTAATACTACCGAAAGATCAACAAACATTTTAAATAATAATGACTACGCGTTAGGCACTTAGCCAATTTATCTAACTGGGAAAATGTTTATTTAAAATTGGCTGTATATTATAACATGCTGTTAACCATCAGAGTCGCATTTTATTTATTATCATAATAGTGTGCATACAACTGTATTAGCTTTCTGTATAATTTAAAATAAATTATAGATTTATAACACCAATTTTTAAATCATATTCTAAAATTTGTTCCAAACTTTTGGGTCTTTTATCTTATTTATTTTCTGGATTCATAACAGCTAACCTTGGCTTTTTTAAATAATTTTTAAATTAAATTTATTTATAAACAACTTTATGAATAAAATAATACAACAAAATCGACTACTCAAACTATTGAATTTCCTAAACCTAAAGACACAATTTACCGAGGCTTGATATTGTTATTAATATCAATATGTCAACATGATAACTATGTTCAGAAATGTTTACATATTGTTAACCCTTGTTTTTTCACGGAAACGGCAATGTTATAATAATAATGTGTAATATAGTATTTTAATTGGTGTGGTTTACTGTCAATATTCTCATAACCATTGACATGTCAATTGC